GAGCCAACGCTGATCGCCCTGATCGGATTGCTCCAGCGAGTTGAAAAACTCACTGTGTCTCTGATGTGTTTTGGGAAAACTGACGGCGGGACGAAGGAAGAGGAGGGCATGGGTGTCCAACAGAGGTCACTCCCTTGGGAATACCCGGAATTCCGTAAGCCACTGGCAGCCATGTTTTTTGCCGAATCGTTACGCACTGGCAAGAACGGTGGTTCCTTGGTCTTTTTCCACATAATTAATTAAAATGAACTGAAATCCACTCATAAATGCCAGTATAATCCATGGTGTAGCCTACAGGTGTGTGTAATAAGATGTCAAACCATCATGTTTCCCCCTGATGAATTCTACAACCGGAACCTAGTAAATAGTTAATCATAATATACCATACATTGAGTATACAAAACATTAAGAACATCTGCTCTTTCCATGACAGACTGCTATGATCCCTCATTGATGTCACTTGGTAAATCCACTTCAATCGGTGTAGATTTTTATTTTTATTTAACCTTTATTTAACCAGGTAAACCAGTTGAGAACAAGTTCTCATTTACAACTGCGACCTGGCCAAGATAAAGCAAAGCAGTGCGATAAAAACAACAACACAGAGTTACATATGGGGTAAAACAAAACAAAGTCAAAAATACAACAGAAATACATATATATACAGTGTGTGCAAATGTAGCAAGTTATGGAGGTAAGGCAGATGAAGGGGAGGAGACAGGTTAAAGAAGGATTTTTAAGCCTTGAGACAATTGAGACATGGATTGTGTATGTGTGCCATTCAGAGAGTAAATGGGCAAGACAAACAATTGAAGTGCCTTTGAACGGGGTATGGTAGTAGGTGCCAGGCGCACCGGTTTGTGTCAAGAACTGCAACGCCGCTGAGTTTTTCACGCTCAACAGTTTCCCGTGTGTATCAAGAATGGTCCACCAACTTGACACAACTTTGGGAAGCATTGGAGTCAACATGGGCCAGCATCCCTGTGGAATGCTTTCGACACCTTGTAGAGTCCATGCACCGACGAATTGAGGCTGTTCTGAGGGCAAGAGGGGGGTGCTCTTAATGTTTTCTACACTCAGTGTATTATACCATGGCATTGTTGAATACTCATTTCTGATTGGCTTGAAGGGCATACTAGAGTGTGCATTATGTAAGGGATAATCAACGAGGGGCTATGCGTTCTATGGAAAATAATGAACAACTTGGAAGGTGACCTTCCACTGAGTTGCATTATTTTCCGGATAACGCATAGAGCCCCGAGTTGATTATCCCTTTTATACCATGGCTATAATTTGCTGCTGGAAATGTGTTCATTTGCCGGTATAAATGTGTTCAACATGCACTGAAGTACACTAGCTAGCAAGTTTACAAGCTACAGTAGTTGCCTTGGTAGCCAAACAGAACAGACTTGCTAATTTAGTTAACCAAACCATCAGTCCTAACTTGCTATTATGAAAATTGAATTCAACAATGCCAATAATGTTTTCTAAAGCAGCTCAAACATAGAACATGTAAGAATGAACTATAGCCATTGAATTCTACTGTGCTGATATACCGTGCGTAATAGGGAAATAATGCACGCTCTAGAATGCCCTTTAAGCCAAAGCATTTCTACCTGCAAATGAGCACATTTCTAGCGGCAAATACACACAATTATAGCTATGGTATAAAAGGGTTAATCAACTTGGGGGCTGTATGCATTCTCTGGAAAATAATGCAACTCCGTGGAAGGTTAGTTCCACTCCGCTAGAACGTTGTGGAACACACCTTCCACGTCGCTAATTCTTTTCCATAGAATGCATAGCCCCTCGTTGATTATCCCTTACATATTTTTTTTGTTGTTGAGTAATACATCATTTGATTTAAATTCTATTCTATGGGCTGCTCCTGGTTGCTGTGGAAACCTCTGATGTACTGTATAATGAAACATTTCAGGAAATGTATGTAAAAAGGTCAGTGTATTTCAGCTGACCAAGGGCTGTTACGGGGTGGACCAAGCTCAGTTAGCATAGTGGTTTCATTACCCCTATCCATGTGTCAGCCCCTCCCTCTGCCAATTAATCAAGCTATGATGTATTAGTGCTTTGGGGGGACAAGAGGTTGTCTGTCAATACAGTCAAGACGAATGGCCCCTCTGTCCCTGAATACGGCCGTAACAGTCACAGGGCCCACTTAACTATCCCTGTTGATCTGGCACCGCCGGTCTCCAAGGCACCACACTTCTCCAGCGGTAATGAGCTGTGAACTGTCGGTTAGGGAGATGAGAAACAAACATTACCACAGAGATTGTTAGTAGCTCCAACTGTAACGACTTTCTAATTGTAATATTACAATATAATCACTGTTTAATCATATCCTTTTGAGGCCTTTCTTCCTAAATGAAACAATGTATTCATACTTAAGTGTTTATAGTTGCACAGCATGCTAGATTATTATATTTCTGAGATGGAATTGCCCAAGTGTAACTGAGGTGGTTCTCGAAACCACGCTTATGTGATGAGCAAAGGTCTTTAACTCAGCGGGCTAACACAGACTTGTGACTTGCAGAAATGGACTACATTAGGAGGCCAATATGGCCCAGGCCTACTGAACATCGAGGAGATTTTGTTCTCCAGTCAATGTATTTGTCTTTCAAGTTTTAATGTCACATGCACAAGTAAAGTGAAATGCCTTTCTTACAAACTCAAAACCCAACAATGCAATAATCAATAACAATGTAATGCTAGAAAAAACACACGTCTTAGTGGTAGGCTACAGTGAAAGAGGCATTTAGCTGGCTTAGTGGAACTTTAAAACAATGAATTAAAGCTGTGCATCCACAATTGTCAGTTAGCTGGCCCATGTACTCCTATTATACGTTAATGTGGACTCAATGAGAGGAATGACACACTGATTATATAGACTTGTCCTACAGAGGAAGCAGTAATGATTTTTTCTTTTAAACGCACATCCTCCAGGCACTCCGCTGATGTGTACCATGTTGACGGTCAAATTGCAGTAGAAGTCTTGTATTTCCCCTTCATTGGGTCTGTGTTGCTTTTGCATGCCAAGTTGATTTGCATAAGCGAACGGTCAGACTCCAGGATTTGTACAGGATTTGTATAGAATTTGAATGAAACGGTCATCCTGTCTTCGTTAGGGACTGACTGTGGTTCTTTCAGCTTGTGTTCAACAGGCAACATTGCTGCCAGCGCTGCTAACACATGACCTATTAAAGTTAATATTGGTCATGATCTGTATAGCAAGGACAGTGAAGGCCATTTTATACATCTTATTCAAAGTACTCAGTGTTCGAGTGAAGTTTCCCTAGTCAACAAGCAACAATGGCATGATATCAAACAGCTAGCTCTAGTGCCTTCTCCAAAAACACATATCTAAATAAGATATCTGTTCACGGATCAAAGCGTTTCAATAACTCCTCAATACTAGAGACTTCAAGTGAAAACATAATGTTTCGCTACTGTCCAACATCAAAGTATACTTTTTTCAATTCTCTATAGATTGTTCATGTTTAATTAGCTTGTTTTGTCAACTATCTCTTGAGCTTCCTGTTATTCTTGAATTAATATATTCATAACAGAGAATACATAATATGCAATATCAAGAAGTGTAATATTGCAATGGAGTGGCTGTGTTGCTTAGGAACTGCACCATTTTTGTGTTATGGCTTTCCATGTTAATCATAAAACATTTATAATTCTGTATCGGTACTAGTATGATTCAGATCGTTTGCACAACAATTAGTCTCTGGTCTTGGAGAGCTACTATACTGGTTGTGACGGTTTTACTTCCACCACAATACAAACACACATGTTGAAAAGATGAACCAATCATGGTCCTCAGGATTGACATTGACTATCTGAATCAGATGTGTTACAGTAGGTCTTTAGAAGATGTGCATTGATTTCAGGTCAAACATGAAATACTTTTTCCCCGTTGTAATTGTTATTATCTAGTCCTAGTCTTTTCCCTGTTCAATCTTGAGAAAATAAAACGATAACTTGCGAGCTGGAAAAATAAGCATCTTGTCTGAAGTGCATTCTGTCAATAGCACCTCTACTGGTTACCACAGTCTAAACGGTCAACCCCTATCAAACGCTGAGCCTTGAATCCCCACTAAATAATATGTTTGAATGGATAGGGGTAGATTATCTGTGATCGCTTGATTATTCTGATTACCCCTCTGGCACTGAGTATGTTATTGGGCAGAGGGCCACGAGCAACAGCCTGGTATTCCTAGCTCGGTTTACTGTATTGAATCCTCTTGGGGATGTTTGTTTTGGCTCTCTCATCAAACAAGCATGGCATTTCATAATGTATCAGGACACACAAAGTAACAACAGAGGGGAAATGCATATTATACTCTACGTTACTGTCAACAGTAGAGTAGAATCTGGAGGAGCTTACAGAAGAACGGGGGTGACATTTGACTATTTAACTGTTTTTTTCATAACAAAGTGTCTTTATACAAGGAGTTCCATGACATTGAAACCTGTGTTGTAATGCAATGCAGGCAGAGGGTAGTAATCAGTGTCTATGGTCTGTCGTTACAGAATATGTTCACCGTGGGCAAGGACAGTGATGACACCAGTGTCTATGAGATGATGTGCACAGCAGGTGAGTGGAGGAACAATGGTGAACAATACAATATTGGATTGTTTGACCAGCTCAATGTGTGGCAGGCTATCTTTGTTTCATATTGTTAATTCAATAGATAATAGTGATCCTAGTAGGGGGTCGGTGACTGACTATAATGCGGTTTCTGATTAACGGTGACATTACGATTGCCATAATGGAAAGCGGGAATCCGCAACAACATTCAGTGGATGTCATTTTATGAAAATGTGATGCACCATAGTGGGTGGTTTGTACTCTGACTCATGCAGCTATTGCTTCTCTAGCAGTAGTACTCAACCCCATGTTATGTATGAATATCATTTATGAATATCTTATAGGGAATCCCAGTGCTCCAGACACTCAGATAGAGGAGCATGGAGAGGGGGAGGAGGTGGGGGATGATGAGGATGAGGAGGACCTGTACGCCCCGCTGGGTGTAAATGATGAAGACTATGACACCATCTTGACCTCCAGCGGCGCCGTTGTTATTGCTAACAGACCACCAGCGCCCACGCCCCGGCCCGAGACCACCCCTGTCAAAGAGGACAGCACCCCCTTTATAGCTCAAGGTAGGACTAGACCTCTGGGTTGTGTTCAACAGGCACGAAACAGGAGAAAACGGATTGAGATAGAGAAGGTCCTACATTAACTTGTCCAATGAGAACGATCATTGTCTTTTTCCGTTTCAAAACGTTGAACTACATTGTGCCCTATTGAACTTGACCTTGGGTTGCTGGTATGTTTATGCTGTGACTGGTGAGTATTGCGCATGAGTGATAGAAGATCTCATCAGGTGCCAGTGCAATGCAACACATTGTTTTTGTAAACTTCAAGGGAAGTTGGTTGCTAGTCCCAGACAGTTGAGTCTGATGATATGCACTAAATATTTCCTCAACCAACAGGGGAATATGTAGCAGATGTGAAACTAGCATGTGAGGACCGCTAAGACAAAGACAGAACTGACTGTTACAAATACACAGATCCAGATTCGCTGGCATGGGATTCTTAAATGTTCAATTTGAGCTGTGTAAATAATACAAGAGGATGAAGCTACTGATATTAAGGGTTTATAAATAATTTATGTTTTCTTGATTTCTTTCTTTCTTGTCTGCCAAAAAGACATTGCCTTTCATTCCAGTTCTCTTTTCCCTCTCTTTGAACTGTGGACTGGATCCTAAACTCTCTCAGTGCTTTGTGGGAAAGGTGATAACTTGGTTGGGGTTGGACAGGAGGAAATGTTATGTCTTGGTCATTAGTCTTTGTTGTGCACTGTAAGGGAGTCAGGTCGTGGCTGGTCCTCCGATCAATTATAAGGGTTATCTGTCCTACTTGAAGACTCTTGAAAACATGCAATTCCATAAGCAACACTAACTGCCAATCTGCAGTATAACGGGCCCAAAAGTATTTATCTTGGTAATGAATGTGATGTTATTGTGTGAACCACCACTTCTCCCCGAGCTTTCAGCCCTGCCCATAGAACCTGAAGCCTAGCAAAAGCAGATTACACTGCATCACAAATGTCTCAATAACAGAAGCCCAACTACTGTGCCTGGGCCACATTCTGCAACCAATCTGGGCCATTCTCGGGTCAAGCCAGCAGCATCGGTCATTACACGTGTTTTCCATTGTTCATGTTCCCCGACATGAGACAACAGAGCATGGGAGAGAACGCGTAGGGGAATCCAGAGATTTCCAAGCATTAATACAGTGGAGTCTTTCAACCATGCACTGATCATATTGCCTCCCCCCACTAGTGAATGCATCACAGTGACTTAAAGACATGCTCCGGTACTTTTTTAAACCTCCGGCTTTGGGCAGGATGTGTCAATGTGTAGTTCATATATGCATAATCTATGAGCAGAATTACCTCAATTAGCCACGAAATCTCTAGTTTGAAAGTGCCTGTTTTCTTGAAGCTGTGCAGTGCCATTTACCCTACATTTTCTCCCACGTGGGCCAGCTCCCTAGCAATTTGAGTTCTAGCCAATTAACTGTAGCCCCTCGCATTTGAGTGAGAGAGAGAGATGACGTGGTGCACATATGTGATGTAGTACGCAATTTTTGGGGACCACTTTTGGCTCGTGAGGGCTACTTTCAGATCTACTGTATACAAAAAAAGTATACAACAGTACCGGAGAATCTCTTTAAAGAAATGCCTGATTTAAAGAAACTGGAGGAGGGTTGGAGTGGAGGATTAGGGACTTTGCCTAGTGCTTGAGTGCACTGCACAGCTAGAAGTAATGGACAGAAGTTTAGTTTTTTACCTGCCGTTCTGACTGGTAAGATTATTGTAGTCAGTATGTGGAGGAAGGATAATTAGTGTATGAGGGAGTGTCTGCATCTGAAATGGCAACCTATTATCTAAAGAAGTGCACAACATAGCAAATGGGGTACCATTTCAGTTGTAACCTATGAGTGTGTTAGTGGGTACAGTACATGTGGGTATGCTTGTGTGTACAAGTGGGTGGGTATATCTTCAGGAGGGAAATGAAACTTTGAAATCTGAGGAGATGACTGGGCCAGAACCCTAAAGAGTCTCCATTATCCATCACCCTGTCAACACCATAAGTGCAGAGAAGTGGCTCCCTCAGCTAAATAAAGCAACATATCATTCTAAGTACTTACTAGCCAATCGATAGCATTGAGTGTATCCTTCAGTTGGATTCAATTCAGCTTCATGGATCTGTATGTCTTTTACCAAACCTTGGAAGAAGGCTATTTTATCGAAAATAAAATGTACATAATACATACTAGTACGAATTTTACTCTGTCATTCACTTTAGAGTAAATATTATAATGTATCAGTTTGTACAAATATGCAGTTGTGCAGCCTATTTGTGTACATTGACTAGTCTACCTCTGTGCTATTTGTTTGTAAATGGCGCCATCTTGTGGAATAGCATGAAATAGTAGACTCATTAAGGGTAGAGGGGAAAAAACACATCATTAGCATTTGTAGTGTCAGTTCATCACGTCTGTATTGTCTCTGATGACAGCGTGTGTTTTGCAGTGTTCCAGAAGAAGATGTCACAGAGCGATACTGAAACACTGTATTCTCTACCCACTAAGCAAGGTAAGGCCAGGCAACAGTCATAAAGTATATTTCTGTAGGTCTGCATTTACGGTTGAATAGGTCAGTGATGCAAAGTATATGGAGCAATGTTGATTCAATCATTTTAATGGCACTATCATTCCATAAGTATAGTCTATTGACAAGTTCTGTCAAACTGGAAAAGGATTTGTTACTGTACATCTGGTGGAAAGGGGTTGATTTAAATCTCCCTGCCATTCTGTTATTCTGTAGCACGCGGGCGAGAAAACATCTCCTCCACATATGACACGTTTGTGCCCAACCAGCCACCTGGGCTGGAGCAGCTGATTGAGCTACAGGAGAAGGTGAAGAGCGGGTCTCTCAGTATGGACGAGGCTCTGGAGAGGTTTAGTGACTGGCAGAGGGTCCAGAAGGGAATGGACGCCATTCAACAGGTAATATTGTGGGGAAATTAGTCTGTGTTTTAAGACCATTCTCATTAGGAGTAGTGCCATCAACCATAAAATGTAGACTCAATAATATGACATCATCATACACAGTGGGCCAAGTTCCTGCTGACAGATGTCAACAACAACAGAATACAAGACTGGAACTATTGGCTCTTCCCAAAGTGGGCATGCCTTAGCCTGAAAGTCAGTCTGTTTGTGCTATCATACATCAAGCTAGCATGCCTCTAGAGAGAGTGCAAACTGAACTGTGAACATGACAGGTGACAGGGCTTTGAACACTACTCATTAATGAGTATGTGGCATGTGTTATGTTGTGTATTATAAACCGGGTAGTTTGGGTCCTGGATGCTAATTGGCTAAAACAGCATTTCAGCTGTGTGTATATCAGACAATATACCACAGTATGATGCAAAACAACTTGTTTACTGTTCTATTTATGTTGGTGACCAGTTTATAATATCAATAAGGCACCTTGGGTTTGCGGTATATGGCCAGTATACCATGGCTATGGGCTGTTCTTAAGCACGACACGAAGCGGAGTGCCTGGATACAGCCCTTAGCCGTGGTATATTGGCAATATACCACACCCCCTCGAGGTGCCTTATTGCTTAACCATGCCTTGTTGTATTATTACATGGTTGCTGTATCTAATGGATTGTAACTCCACAGGAGAAACTACGCCAGCTGAGGGCGAGTATCATCAACAACAGAGAGGACGATGAAAGTGTCTATGGTAACCGTTTTCTACACTGAGTATACAAAACATTAAAAACACCTGCTCTTTCCATGACGGACTGACCAGGTGAATCCAGGTGAAAGCTATGATCCCTTATTGATGTCACTTGTTCGATCAACTTCAATCAGTGTATATGCAGGGGAGGAGACAGGTTAAAGAAGGATTTTTAAGCCTTGAGACAATTGAGATATGGATTGTGTATGTGTACCATTCAGAGGGTGGATGGGCAAGACAAAATATTTAAGTGCCTTTGAACGGGTTATGGTAGTAGGTGCCAGGCGCACCGGTTTGTGTCAAGAACTGCAACGCTGATGGGTTTTTCACGCTCAATAGTTTCCTGTGTGTATCAAGAATGGTCCACCACCCAAAGGACATCCAACCAACTTGACACAACTGGGAAGCATTTGAGTCAACATGGGCCAGCATCCCTGTGGAACGCTTTCAACACCTTGTAAAGTCCATGCCCTGACGAATTGAGGCTGTTCTTTGGTCAAAGGAGAGGGGGGCGGGGGGGGGGCGGGTTAACTCAATATTAGGAAGGTGTTCCTAATGTTTGGTATTCTCAGTGTATACATCATTCTGACTGTAACGTTCCAAACAGATCTCCTTTTTTGATGAGAAGAGCAAAGATTGCCAAAGCAATCCCCACTTGGGGGACAGATACTGTATAGGATCGTTACCTTGACTTATAGTTTACATAAGCCGTTAGACATAATTTTGACACAAACAGTTGCTTAGGTAAGCTAGTTGGCAAGCTAGCTAGTTAACTGTTCGTGGCCTGAGTTACAATATTATGCAAGAGCTATGAAGGCCACCTGCATTAGATATGTTTCTGCAAGTTCTGCAGAAGATTGTGCAGTCCTTACACTTCTAATTGAAGTCCCATTGGGCACACATCAAATGACACCACCCTTTGTAATAGAAAGAGTTTGTAGTTGTAATTCCCACAGCTCAACTTGATGATGGTGATTAGTCTCCAAATGAGAATCTTGGCAGAGGGAATTTTTACATCTCTTGATAAAGGTGTCATTGCAGAAAGAGAGTAGAGAGCCACATGCAGTACAGTAACAGTAACCAACCATTTATCTTCTCTCTCCAGATAAAATCAACATCATCCACCACACACCCAGTAAGTCCTTGAAAAATCCTTCGTATTCAGAGAGAGAGAGACTGGTGTCTTCTGTTTGTTTTCCATGCCTTTTCATTCGCTGCCTCAGTTTCTGCAGTAGTGAAACGTTTGTCCCAAAGGAACAGTTGGCTAGATAAACTCTTCTGAACAGTTTGCTCAGAAGAGCGTAAAGTCCCCAAGGCTGTGGCTTTGATGTTCTAGGTTCCATATTGCTGTAGTTGCTATGGTCTGTGTAAGTATAGCACCACTAGTAAGTAGTTCAGTCTTAAAAGCTCATTTATAACATCTGGTTTATAATTGCATTCTGAAGCCCTCCATGTACTGTGATAACTGTGAGTGCAAAGAGAAAGTGATCAACCTGTGAGAAGGCTGGGTAATCTTCAGTGGGCACAAAATGGGAGAAAACATTATGAAACGGAGTGAAACGGGGTAGCACTTCACCATACCATCATTTGTTTTCTACATTAAGCCCTACTGAACACGGCCCTGGTGTTTTGAAAGTCTGACAGTGGACTTAATATGATGTCTCTGTTGACTTCTTCCTCTTGGTTAGATGTGACTGTGAATGAATGTCGCAGAGGAAGCCAGCCGGTGGAGACTGACTTTTATAGCAAACCACTTAAAGGACAACATGTAAGTATATCATGTGTTTGTATAGGCTCTGGTCAAAAGTAGTCCACTATGTAGGAAATAGGGAGTCATTTGGGAGTCCACACAGTCCATGTGTTTACATCTGTGTTGAAAATTCAACATGTCCGATCCCAGGCTGTGTCACAGCCGTACGTGACCTGGAGCCCCATAGGGCGTCTCACAATTGGCCAAGTGTCGTCCAGGTTAGGGGAGGGTTTGGCCGGGGGACTTCCCTTGTCTCATCGCGCTCTAGCGACTCCTTGTGGTGGGCCAGGCGCCTGCAAGCTGACTTCAGTCATCAGATGAACGGTGTTTCCTCGGAAACACATTGGTGCGGCTGGCTTCCGTGTTAAGCAAGCAGGTGTTAAGAAGCAGCACGGCTTGGCGGGTCATGTTTCGGAGGAAGCATGGCGCGACCTTTGCCTCTCCCGAGCCCGTTGGGGAGTTGCAGCGATGAGACAAGATCGTAACTACCAATTGGATATCACGAAACTGGGGAGGAAAAGGGGGTAAAATTACAAACAAATATAAAAAATTAATAATTCAACATGTCATAATGAAATTGGATTATAGATTTTGAGTTCTTGTTGATAGTTAAATTAGCAGTTTATAAAGATGAAAACCATAGCTAACCATATTTCTAAGGGAAAGTGTTGAACATTTGCTTTTCAGTCAAATCTCTTCTGGAAAGCAAACAAACGGTGAAGTAAGTATTTGAATTACTAAAGCTGTTGCAGTAGTAGTACAATCTCAAAGAAATTACTTGATTCACTTATTAATATGATTTTATATTTACTCTATGATTTTCCATACTCTTATAGGTGCCATCAAACAAGAAACAAGATCCCTAAGTTCTTTGTCTTGTTCTCATCCATACTGAAGAACCAAGCTCTTATAGATAGAAATGGAAATGTCTATGTCCTGCATCCCTATAACAAGATATCAATACAATGTAAATCTAACATGATAAAGATGTTATGATTAAGTTATTTTTTTTATTAAATCATTTTATTTCACAATGTCATGCAATTGTATCTGGGGTGTATAACTCATACAGTGTTATACTGTAGGGGTATGGGGTAGGTCATTTCCTCATTCTGTCTGTGTTACATACATGAACACAACTCACCTACATAATATACAGTACTATACAGTTTGCTCAGGATTTGTACCTGATTCATCTAATCTTCTCGTTTGATGGCTGTGATCAGTTGAATGGGGAGTGCTAGACCTGCAGGGCATATAGTTCATTAGAAGTCCTACTCTGCCCTCTAGTGGACAACGAAAAACCATACACCTTAAGACCGTTGACCTCAGCTCCTGAGGCATTTCTAAGAGATATTCTTCAAGACTCAATGTGTATCATTAGTGTGGCAGTACATATCACAAAGTGAGCCTATATGGTCATGTGATCTGGTTCCTCTACTCTCATAGTCTTGTGAAGGTTAAACACAAATTGATTAATGTAGAAATAGGCAACAGTAATGGTCACACAAAACATGTAGTCATCCATATGGAGTAGGGTGAAGTTGCCACTCGACGCTGATCTTAGGTCAGTTCTCCATTGCCCCCAATAATGGTTAAGGTTTGGATTGGGGGAGGGGAAGCTGATCCAAGATCTGTACCTAGGGGAAACGTCACCCATCCATAGAAGGGGATAAAGTGCCTCTGTTCAGCTCCTTGCAGTACAGGAATCTGCCCCCAGAGGGCAGCATCACAAAGCAGTGATGTACGGGTTCATCGCTGGTCCAAGACTATGATGGAATATAATTCATGTTAGTTGTGGATGTTTGGGGTAATCTGATAAACCTCGACCCATATGAGATTTCAAGGATTTTATTATTGTATGAGATGGTGACTATTGACAGAAAACTGACGTTGTCGTACCAAAGCAGTGGTTCATTATCACTGCCATACAATACAGCAGCCGGAATGGGTCTAACAAAAAAATACAATAGGTTTCAAAGAACGTAAAGTCCTTGTAGGGAATTTAACTAATACAGGGCAAACCACAAACCTCAGGCTTGGGCCGAATTCATCAGGGTACCATGTGTAACGTTCAGATATAAATATAATATGTAGAACAAACATGTCCCTCTAACATGTAGAATAAGGAATCACGTATGTTCCATTCATGGCATTTCTATTACAACGTTCCACAACGGTTGTCTGCTGAACTAGATTCCCTTGTCTAGAAACCCTGGCATCAGTCGGAGCTGTTTGCCAACCAAGCAGCTGGGTACACGCTGGGTGCCATTCTCCTGATCAACCATGCTCTTTGTGAATAATATGTATTAAAGCCCATCATTCCTTCTTGGTCCTGCCAGTTAGCCCTTTGGAGATAATCCGGCTCAGGCTGCAGGACCCCGTGGAATCGGAGGCATATGTGTGTCTGTCACCTGCTGAGCATAGTTCATTCGGTCTTCCCTGTCAGGGCATGGTGGTGGAGATGGGCCATGGTTCATCATGCATAAATGTTTCATGGTGCACAGCTAGGAAAGAGGAAGCTTCTTCCTGCGGAAAGAGGAAGCTTCTTCCAGGAGCAGGTTTGCTTGTGTTCTGTCAATGTCTTTAATTTTGTTTATGTGACAGTGTTAATAAAAATGTTGTAACATCTCATTTTTACCCATAACTTTAGCCTGAATAGGGTAAGAATTCTACGCACACACATGCACACACACTTTCCTGTGACTGTGACTCCCCCTTGGGTTGTTTCTCTGGGCCCTGGCAGGA